GCCCAAAAATAACATAAATAAAATCTCTAGATAACAGAATACAAAACAAAAACTCTTACAAGCAATGCACTTCTCCAAGTGTCTCCTTGAATCAGAGTTACAGAAAACAAAGCACTTTTCCAAGTGTATCTTACATAAACCACGACTGATGATCAATCAATGTTGAATGAACCAAGGAACGTTGACTCCTGCAACTAGGGCGTGGCACCATCCATCCTTTTATCCCCAGAATATGCCCCTAACAAGCCCCAGCTGCATAATTAATCTTGCATCCCGAAAAGACTCACAGAAGACTGCTGCTGAGTCACAACAATAATGTAACACACAATAATGGATATGGGGGAGGTTATAACTCACTGATATACTGATCTGGTACTTAGTCCTGGAGCAGTTATTGTAAAACAATAAAGAAAATTGATGGATCAGAGCCTGCTATTTTCTGTAAAATTCAGAAAATATTACTTTTAATGATTAAGGGCATTTTTGGAAATTAATCATTATTTTATAGTAATTAAAATATTACAGTCACACTATATTAACTTACAACTGTATACAACCTCAGACCGCATGTTGTTCACATGTATTAAATATCACTTACTCTAAAAGCTTATCTGTTTTCTTTCTAGTAAGGGATTTTGCAGGAAAGTGACATTTGCATATCTCTTAGTCTGCATAGTTTTCCTTATACAGGTAGTCTTCGACTTACAACAGTTTGTTCAGTTACAGGACTGAAAAAAAGTTGCTTATAACTGTTTTTCACATTTACAACCATTGTAGCATTCCCATGATCATGTGATCAAAATTCAGATGCTTGGCAACTAACTCATATTTATGACAGTTGCAGTGTCCTGGAGTCATGTGATCCCCTATTGAGACCTTCTGACAAGCAAAGTCAATGTAGAAGCCAGATTCACTTAACAGCTGTGTAACTAATTCAACAACTGTAGTGATTCACTTAACAACTGTGGCAAAGTTTATAAAGTCACTTACAAATGTCTCACTTAACAACAGAAATGTTGGGCTCAATTGTGATTGTAAGTCGAGGACTACCTGTAGTAATGTATAAAATAATGAATCTATATTAATTACATTGATGTTAACTGAAAAAATGATTTAGTTTCACCTTAAACTTTGTTGTCACCTTGTTCAGGCAAATTTAGTGGATAATTAAGGATAATTTTAATGGTGTCATACTGCAGAGAAGAAAAACAGAATAACTAGGTTTGAGATGGGGAAAAGGTGGAGATATTATAAATATTAACTTCAATTAATGTTTCAGATATCTAGATAAATATGGGTTGTAGGAATTGTGAAAAATATCCACAGTGCTCTCAAGTGGTAAAATTGCAGTAGTTAAGAATGAAATATTCACAATCTCAAAGCAAGACACAATTTTTAAAAGTGAATACTTGTCCTTTAGTAATGAAAGTAATGGGTATAGGATAGTTTTCCTCAGTCTGATGATCTCCAGAAGAATTGGATTATATTTCCCATCATCCACATCTAATATAGTAATTAACATATTGTGTGTCATTAATTGCATTGTGCCTTTCATTAGATGCCCTTCCTAATGTTAAGAGTTTGCCAGAAATGCCTATCTTAAATCAAAATTCCCGTGAAACTTAATCAGGATTAAATAAACAATTGAAGCTTAACTCTGCTTTTCTTAAATATGCTGGCGAAGTCTGTACAAGCATTTGCAGTACATTGTAAATCTTACAATGAATTTTGGCCATGCTTCAGAAGATGTTCAGTGTTAAATGCTGAGGGAATTCTTTAGCATTATGTGTTTGGCAAAGGGTAGATTTGGCAATAATGTTACTTTTGAGGTTTTTTATTTTCTTTCGGTTGAAATCCAAAAACCAATTTTAAATACACAGTTAGTGTTCAAAGGGTTTCTCTGCATAAGCTGGAAATGCAAAAAAAAAATCCTGTAAACCCATTTAAATGTTTATTTTTATTGTTTTAATTTTATTTTACTTTTTCAGAAGGTAAGTTAAAGATTAGAGTTGAAAAATGTGCTCTTGATCTGAGCTATTATAACTAAATTGATTTCTAAACAAAAACATATTAAGCTGGTTATAAAACAGAGATAAAAATATGATTTCTATTATGTTAAACAATGTTAATTCCTGCATTTCTTCAACTATTCGTGAATGAGGAAGAGGATATACTTCTGTGTATGTTTTTCTTATAAGCCAATGTCTGTCTTACAATTAATCTGAAGGTGTAGATGGACAATTCAATGTCAAAAGCAGAAAACTTAGAAATGCAACATTATAGTCACTGTTGATCTCAGCTTTTTAAAAACTCTTCTTTCTCATCAGTGGAAATAACAATGGCTTTTCAACTTTTCGAAGAACCATTTTATCTGTAGCACTTTTTGTTGATATTTCTTTATGTTCTGTTGCATTTAAGTTGGGAACCAGACATATTGTAGAAACAATGCAAGTCGCAGGGCATCATATCAACACTCTCTTTATGTGTGGTGGTCTGAGCAAGAACCCTCTCTTTGTCCAAATGCATGCCGACATCGTTGGTAAGTTTCAGAATACAGCAAAAGAAATGAGCACTAAACTGAGTCTAGCATTCCTGTTCCTTGGCTGAAGAAATTGCAGGGTGAATATTATGACACATTCATAACAATAATCAGCAAACAAGTCATATCTTAATCTTTCCAATACAGATAGACCCTTGATTTATAACCATTTGTTTGGTGCCTGTTCGAAGTTACAATGGCATTGAAAAAAGTGACTTATGTTTTTCGCAGTTATGACTGCTACAGCATCCCGATGGTGATCTAATCAGAATTTAGATGCTTGGCAACTGACATATATTTATGATGGTTGCAGTGTCCCGGAATCATGTGATCACCTTTTATGACTGTCTGACAAGCAAAGTCAATGGGGAAGCCAGATTCATTTAACAACCCTGTAATTAACTTGACAACTGCAGTGACTCATTTAACAACTGCGGCAAGAATGGTCATAAAATGGAGCAAAGCTCGCTTAAGAACTGTCCTACTTAGCAACAGAAATTTGGGGCTCAATTGTGATCATAAGTCAAGGAGTACCTGTAGATTGGGATTCTACCATTGTACATTTTACCTTTCCTGGTTAATATTAATAGTATCTCAGTGTTTCACTGGAAAAGTTAAAATCATTAAGCTGAACCACAGCTAGATGCAAGTAGGATGGATCAAAAATTTTCAGTGAAAAAAGGGGCATTCGACTCTTAAAAAATCTGAGAAGAGCCAAAATACAATAGTAAAGCCTACATTTTATAAGGATTTATCCTTTTAAATTGTTCTGAGAGGCATGGCAATCATTATAAATTGTGCTGAAATTGATGAATTAGTCTGATTCAAATCAAAAACAAATCCCAATGTTCCTATATAAAAATAAGTAAATACACTAATTGAAATGGTTCATAGTATTGTGAAATAATATTTCTGATGCTGTCTAGAAATAACAGTTGTATTTTCTGATTAATTATTTCTCAATTACTGGTTGAAAGTAAATGAATAATTTTAATTTTTCAAGTAACTCAACCATGTAAACCATGTGTTGTAGGATTTAATATGTCTATTGATTCAAAGTAATTCATAATATCCCGTGGTGTGCTAGCATTTGCCATTTCTCAAATACTAAAGATACATAATATTGGCACATTTTAAATTGGAAGAAGATGTCAGGAGATTCATTTTTCTGGTTAAAATGTCAATCACATTTATAGCAAATTACCCGTCTATTAGAGGAGATCCTAATTCACCTAACTTGTCATTTATGCATGAGTATTTTTGGATATATCTTGTGGTTAAAAAGAATACATATTTCACCTGTGGAAAATGTATTTCTACAGTTCTAAAAGGTTGGGATTAAAAGCAAACCACGAACCATATGGGCCCTTTTTTTCTTCAGAGGAACCAATATGGTTTAGATCAAGTCTAAAGCTTGAGCTCTGGGTATTTTGCTTTTAGATTTGCATCTCTTCAACATCAAACCAGGAATTGAGATCAAAATCAGCATTAAGTAATTACATTTCTTGAAAGCAGAAAAAGTGAACCAAATGATAAGGTCTTGACCTGGGCTAGATATGCACAACAGGCTGTTGCCACAGCAGTCTTTTCTATTTGTCCAATGTGATTTTATCAAGCGTGCACCTTTTTCCTTATCTAATTCAAATAGCTTTGGAACCAAGAACTCCTTTCTGATGTCTAAAATTAAAGATCTATTAATAGATAATTCTGATTAAATTTTAAACTGGGGTCCTTTGACTGTATCTAATAGCCAAGCAGAACGTTGGACAAAGAGGCCTTTCTGCAACTTAGGAATTTTTCCTGATTGTAGGAACTGTGATTGACATAGGATGTCAGAGTTCATCTGACTAAAATGCTCTTGGTTTTCTTGCCCTCTTTAAAATCTATCTGATAAAATAGTTAACATTCCTTTATCAATCCCCTATTCTTCCAGGAAAAGACAGGGAAATGCTGAATATATTACTGTTAAATTCAAGTACCCATTAGCCAATTATACGGGCTACAAATAGATAATTTCATAGACCATTTAAAAGCCTAAGTTTCATATTGTTCAGAGGGCAAGATGAATTCATTCATTGTTTGAAGGCACTTAAAATGATGTAAAACATAAGCACCAAGTAAATTAAAAAATACATTTAAAGCATGACAGCTATAAAGTCAATTTATAACTTAGTTCCTCCACAAGTTTAAACAATTGTATTTTGTCAAAATATTTTTTAACCACGGAAAACCTACTAATTTAGTCTATGCATCCTGAGATAGTATTTATCACTACAGGTTTCTTAATGCTGCCCTTGACTGATTCCACATTGAATTTGGCTTGCATTTAATGCTTAGGGGACACCAAGAAGATCATACCAAAAAGCCACATCAGTCTTTAAAACAAGCAACTGTTTAATACTTCAGGGAGAGGTGTTTCTTACATGCTTCATACCTCAGGCCCTTTAACTGATCTGTTGTCTTTGCTCAGGCATGCCTGTTGTTCTAGCCCAAGAAGTGGAGTCTGTGCTAATGGGTGCTGCTATTCTTGGAGTCTGTGCTTCTAAAGACTTTGCTTCCCTACAGGTATGTAATCACAGAAGGTTCATGTTGAATACAACAACTTGAACTCTGTTTTGCTCTGTTCCACCTCAGGCACGTTATAATTTAGGAGGGGAGAAAATGCAGGTTTTGATCACTGCAAAAGCCAGTGTTCTTAGCCAAATTTTCTGTTTATGGGTTGGTTGGTTGATTAAGGTTAAGTAAGGACACGGAGCACACAAGTGCTGTATAATATGGCCTAGTCATTCAAGACAGAGAAATTCAGCATGGGATTGGAATTAAATTTATTTTTAATGCTAGAGTTTTGAGGCATCGTTAGCAAATACTGAATTCTGCACTGGGAAATTAGTAGACATTCTAATTTATGAAGTGTTGACACATATCACTGAGTGAACATGCAGCGTACTAAATTATGTTGGTTGGTCACAATCAAAAAGAGAAATCAATTAAATTTGCTGTTGAAACAGAAGTGGCAATAGTAACAACCAGGCATGATAATACAAAGAATTCTGATACCACTGAAGCGAGTAAATGTATTCTTTTTGTTGAGTTCAGCATTTTTATAGAGGTAGTTCAAAAGATTCTGTTCCTCAGTATATAGACTAATGGAAAATAACTATCCTAGTCTTTCTGTGGATTTTTAAAAAAAATCTATTTCCTGGAGATTTATAGTTGTTTTAGTGTATTAATGATTAATAATCAATTTGTGCTTATACTCTGTTTGTGCTTATTCTCTGTGGTAGACTCCTAAATTGTTTTTCCTCTGGATTATTCTTCTGACAAAAAGGAATTTTGTTTGTAGAACATTATATATTAAGAACTATTTCCCATAGTCTATTACATTTGCTTCATGAATACCACCACATTTCTTCTGCTTTGACAATGGTCTGACCCTCACTTACTTAGGAAGAAGTCCCACTGAACACAGAGATGAATATTTTAATAACTCATAGCAGAGATTTGTTTGTTTGTTGTGGTGCAATTATAATTGCTTTACCAGCTTGATTTCTAAGGAATAATTGTGGGACAGTGGATAAACAGAAGGCAATAATAAATAAAAGCCGTTTATTCTGTTCAAGTCTCCAGTATAATATTTCCATTTTTCTATTACTAAAAAAAAGCAAATACTATTTGCTAGAATTCATCTCATCCTATTTAAGTGACACTAATATTTGTTTTTAAAAGTATTTTATGGTTCTTCAGGCTTTTTTAAAAAATTGTTCATAGATGAAATTATTTCATTAATTGAGTGATTTTTTTTAAGATGGAGTACCTAGATAAAAGATATAACATCTAATAAATCATTAAATAAGCAAAAATGTGAAGTAAGGATTCCCTGGTGAATTAAACTCCATTTTACAGAAGACATGGTCATTTCATTAAGCTTCTGTTACCAAATGACTGAATGGCTGTATATGTTTCAGAGGGATATTTTTGGTGGACTTAATTATTCTACCTTTAATGTGATTTCAAAGTTCATCTGCTCTTTCTGCTTTGCAGAGTGGGGTTGGGAATAGTAACACTGCCACCCAATGAAGAAATGAGGAAATTTTATCTCCAGTCCTTCTGCCTTTAACTTATTCTTCAGCCAGCTAGCTTCTCCTAGCAAAAGCACCAAAGTTATTTTATGGTAGGACATAACATCTGGTATGGTTCAGCTTTAGAATGCCTCCTTGGGAAGAGAGGAAAGACACTCAATAGAGACAGAAAACTGTGTTCATTGTTGTCCAAGGAGATTCTCAGTCATCCAAGTCATGGTTGTCCCAAAGGTGCTTTTTTCAGAAGACAACTGGACTTTCTTGTTTTTCTTTGAAGATGTCTCACTTCTTATCCAAGAAGTTTCTTCAGCTCTGACTGGT